GCCTCTTCACCTTATCGCCAGACCTCAGATCACATTTTCAACAGCCTTGGAATGAGGCATTTCCGTGAAACTGCAACTCTTCTCACCACCTGCGGCTGGTTATTTTTCAAACCAATTAGGCTCTGTACCAGATTGAGATATTCTGGCTAGGGTTCTAACCATCATTGAAAGGAGAGGATCGGGATTTGGTTAAGATGGGATACAACCCAATCTGTACACCCAAATGCAAGAGAAATCTTGATTAGAGAAGTTGAACACATGCCTCTTAGCTTACCATGTTATTTAACCACCATGGACATACTTCTGATGATCATCGTGACACCAACCGGACGATCATCATGCCACAACACCTTTCTTGGAGATCACAATCCTAATGTCCTACCGGATCAGTGTGCAAATAACTTCCTATAAGAAACAGGATTTAGCAGGTTATGATCCCAGATACCATTTTTAATTCGGTTCGACCATCTTCACCTGGGGTTGAACTGGTATCTTGTGATCTGACCTGTGGAGTGTTAACCACTACACTATAGACTCACAGGTCATAAATAAATATTATATATTAAATTATTTATAAAAAATATATATTTACTTTATATTAAATAATTGGCAAGTAGCATTATATTAAATAAATAATGAAAACTTAAAATTATTATAGCTTTTTTTTTTTTTCTATTCAATCATTTGTATTTATTGCTGCTTGATATTATTTAACAATTTCTTTTATATACAAATAAATAAAGAGATTGTGTTTACCTACTTTAAAAACATAGTATATCTTGACTTAATATTTTATATATTGCAATGATCCGGAAATTTTAACGTAGATGCAATATTAGTGCTACACAAGTAACACCCTCACACAATAAAAAACTATTACAACTGCATAAATCTAGACATTTTACCTAAAACCTTTCAAAATGTCCAGTCGTCAAGGTATGAAAATTTATTGACAACAAAGAGTATATAATTAGCTTTATTGATCTTATGAATAACATTCCTTCCCTTCAGGTGGCAAATTAAAACCACTCAAACAACCCAAAAAAAAGGGACCTGGTGATGTAGACGAGGTGACATATCAATTATACTTGAGATTTTGCCTCTTGTAGTTGAATTTATGTTAACCGATCTGTTATTTCAGACTGATTTAGAACACAAAAAGAAAGAACAAGAAGCTCAGAAAAAATTAAAAGAATTAAAAGACAAAGCACAAAAAGGTGGTCCTTTAAGTAAGTCTTTCTCCGTTTCTACTAATTTCTTCTGTGATCCTTCAATATTTGACAAGATTCGCTTATCAAACCTTTATTACCTTTAGTTGGAGGCGGCATCAAAAAATCCGGAAAGAAGTAACATACATATTAGATGTCAAGCAATTAGTTGTTTGTCGATACCATCTCATATAACTTATTCTATAAATGGGATTGCTTACTATGTGAAAATATCTTGAATTAGTATATCAATTGTTCGTTTATTAAGGCATGCACGTTGATATAAATCAGCCAGAAATCTTCTTAATAAAGGTGGAAATATCAAAGGAAAAAAGAAAGGAAATAGTTTAATGTGATTAATTACAAGATTTTGGAATTAAATCTATCTGCTCGTTTTTCCGAGATTGTATAGAAAATGGTTATCAAAAACAATCTAATTCACTATAAAATTACACCAAAGAGAAATCTACATTTTAACTGCTAGTCTATATATGATAACCTTGCATCTCGTTATTTAATAAATAAGTGGTACATTTCGCAAGCATCCCAAATCAAATTCGGATCGTATCATATCAGACAGTGACCCATTCTCTGGTCACGTCCTCTAACAAAACCTCTCTCTTTAAAAATTCATAAACAACGTCAAAATACTCTGGCTGCAAACATGTATCGTTATGAGTACCGTAAACAAATTCCTTGAATATCTTGGCTTCACTTGTTATCGACAGATCATGTAATGTTCTCATGTGAAATGGCGGAACTAATTCATCTCGTTTTCCAGAGAGGAATAATATAGGGGTGTGTGCAATCTGCTGTATATATTTCTCAGATGGCCAGATTTGGTGACAAAGAAAGGTAAGATAGCGAAGTGCCGGCATCACATGCGGTATTACTTTTGGCTAGAAAGGGTATGTGGTGAAATACAGATAAAATCATGAATCAAACAAATATAACGTTAAAGGTATTTACAAATTATGGATTTTATTCACATGACCGAATTAAAAACACTCACGATACTTAAGAATGTGTTTTCCAAAATCATGCCACTGAACTACAAATCACAGTATTAACATAATAGGTAAAGAACAAAATTGATTCCGACACGTAAATACGTATAACTTACCTTATCTTCATTTCTAGAAACCAAATCAATTGATACAGCACCACCAAGAGATTGACCATAAGCCACTAACTTCGTTTTCTTCAATACCTCGTGATTCAATACAAAGTCTAACAAAGTCTGTTCGTATATTTACACACACCGCGTTAAATGTTAAATTTTAGAGCGATTCAGATATCACTAATCGATATTCTTAAATAAATTTACTTGTGCGTCAATTCGAAGGCCTTTTTCATTAGGCGTCCCCTCGCTCAGCCCGTATCTAAGAAAAATATCGATGATTTAATTAACTTAATATAGTGAGCATGATTCCGCAATCATAATTTTACACTTACCCCCTATATGAAATCAACACAACATTACACTTAAATTGCAAGAAGAATTTTTGAGCAATTGGTAAACGATGACCCTATTAAAATTGATCAATTAAATACAATGTGTTGAATGAGCATTTAGAATTATTATACTAATTACCATATTCCCAGCATTGGCCTAATATAATTACGAGGTGTTAACATATTAAAAATGTAGCGATCGCCACGATACATTCCAAAAAAAAAAAAATTACTAGTTTAGTAATCATATATATAATGATCCGCAAACCTACCACACCCAATCATATCACATCACCTTCCTTGTTATTAGTTGAAACTTACATGAAAAAATAAAATAGTAGGTCTATTGACGGCGTCGGTAGGTAATATACAAATATAAGCTCTAATCTTGATGCCATCCTTTGTAGTTAATATTTCTTCCGTATAGTTCATCCCATATTCAGATGGTTTTGCTACCTATGGTTGTGATGCAAGAGTTGATCAAGATTAGATGAACTGGCATCAATGACTGTCATCTATAACTTCACTGATAATTTCGATATGAAGAAGATGAATATCGAGAATGCTTAAAGATTATCAAGGAAAAACCTTTGATTACTAGTAATATGCTCATTGAGGCTATTCTTAGATCAAAAAGCTATCGGTTCTTCAAACATAATCTGTGCCGTCTTCAAACCCTACTAATTACGAAATAAGTTACTTACATGTACCCTCGAACCCTCGGGGAACCTAGCCGGATATATCAACTCACATTGAAAATAGAACAATAAACCTGCAGCCGTTAAAGCTAATACAGAGCCGCTGGTTACAACCACTTGTACATAGGTTGGTATGTAATCTGGGAAGAAAAACATTTTTTTTCGTGAGGTGACTTTTATGACTACAAATTGGAAGAATGAGAATATTTGGAATTTCGACTGAATTCACTAAGTCCAAGACAATTTTCTTATATAAAGAACAGAGTGATTACGGGCATAAAGATATCGTAATACGTTACCAAGATCTAAAAAATTATATCCTGTTATGGTTTGTGTCACTGAGTTACGTAATGAACAAATGAGCATATTGAGTAAAAATAAAAAAAATATTATAATTTATTTTTTTATTATTTATTATTTATAATTTTTATTTTTTAATAAGTATTAAATATAAAAAGTTTATTAAACTTAATATTTATAATTTGTTACAAAAGTTTTTAAATCAATATTTTTTAATATAATTTAATAAATAATTATTTAATTTATATAAAACTTAAATATATATTTTTTATAATCTTAATAATTAAAAAATATATATATATATATATATATTTTTTTTTTTTTTGTAGGTAAACATCATT